TGATCACATTTCTCTCTTTTGAAGGCCATGCTTTCATCAAAGTTTCCTGTGGTCCTGTGTTTCCTTTGGCATTACACTGCGTTCCCCCTGTGTGTGACAAGAGAAACCGAGGGGAAAAGCAGACTGGTGGCGTTATGGCTTGTGTCTAGATGTGCCCCCAGCACCTCATAAAGTCATAGGTGGGACTTTTTCAGAGGTGGCTGGATCTAGAGTATGTGATGCTGGGATTAAGCATGTGTGATTGCTAAGTCAGTCCACTGACTGCTTTTGTACCACCCAAATCCCAGTAGCCTGGATACAATATAAAAGGAGCAGAAAGTTGTTGTTAAGATCCCTTGCTTGCTTGCTTTTGCTGTCTCCTGCCTGCCATGAGCTGTTTCTCCTCTGCAGTGCCCCTCTGTCAAGCCACCCTCCATTGGAGCCAGTTGATTACGGACTGAAACCTCTACAAACTGTGAGCTAAATAAATCTTCCCCTTTCATCTTTGGCTGTGAAGTATTTTGTCTCAGAAAGGAGAAAAATAATTAAGACAAGAGACAACCTCACTGGTCTACAGAACTTGGCAAGAGGAGATTATAAGAAGAGGGATAAGATCAAGAAGATAGAATCAAGGATGGATAATGGTAGAGAAGCTATTTATATGATAGGACATTTTACTATTCACTATCTCTGACTCTATTCTCTTTCCACGCAGAAAGAAGTATTATTCTTCTTTCTCCTTGTGAGTGTGCTTGAGTGGGGTCCTATGAGTAGTTCCTGGCCAACAATGGTCAGCAGTGATAAGCATCACTTCCAGTACAGAGCATTTACTTTCTAGTACAAGGTCCTCTGGCCTGGTCACCATGGTACCTCTGAAATGCTGTGTTAGACACAGCATTATAAAATCATCATTTTAGATTGTAGACCTCCCCATTAGATACATTTATGTGAAATGTCTGTTTTTTCAAGCAACATAGAGTTTAGATATGTTTGTTACCACTTAGTAACCTATAGAGTATGGCATCCCAAATCTTGACTTTCGTACTACAGTCCTTGTAAAAAGGAATTTTCTTCTCATCCTTGTTGTTATTATTGTTGTTTTATCCAAATAAGCAAATTAAAATAAGACGTAGAATTTCCCCCAATGTCAGACATGTACCTTCACAGGAACGTTAAATCTTTGCTAGTAAGAGTAGTCCAAGAACCAGTGGCCCCAGCATCACTGAGATATTGTGAGAAATGTAAGTCCTTGGACCTCACTCCAGACCTACTGAATCCATTTCTGCATTTTTAACAAGATCCTCCAGATGATTCCTATGTAAAACTAGAGAAATATTGATTTAGATGGTAGTTACACTTGACAGTTAATGACCTATAATTAAAGAGTGAGAAGTTGGTCCTTTTCTGTTTGCCTTTCAATCTTTCTGACTACTTTATAAATAAAGTCTCAGTTTGATGTCACTGTCTTTAACACCTCATTAATAGCTGCTAATTTCCCTTTTAACAACGAAAAAGCAAACTTCAGGTTCTTGGGAAGACAAAAGTATTTATCCTGATTATAACAGCACAGTTTTATCTCATTGTATTTAAATGGTTGCCTTGTATTTATGGGAAGTGATGCCTGTTTTCTCTCTAAGCTGTGATAGAAACCTCTATAGAACAAATTAATTTAGAAAAGTTAATGTGTTTAAAGAAAACACATAATAAATGGGAAGAAATATTTGTTTTAATATTTTCTGTCATGTCAGGTAACACCAGTGGTCCGACATTCCTGACTTCTAACTTCTCATGCAGCATTGCTCATTAAGCAACTTTATGCACTCTGCATGGGGCAGGCATGGAAGAGTGCCATATCTGCTTGTGAACTGAGGGATGAAATGGGCATGCTTGAGTCAGCAACTCCTTCTTCCTCTTAGAATTTAGATATCCAAAAAAGAATTTACTCAGGGAGAATATTAAACTTCCAGTAAATTAGTAGAGTCCTACAGCAGGGTATTTGTTTAATATATCTGTAATGTGTGCCTATGTTATGCTAAGTTCTGGCTATATCCCTTCCTTTTTGTTCTCCTGTGGCCTAAAAGTAGTATGGAGGGTTTGTAGGGCTCCAGGTCAACTCTCTGGCCAGGCAGTGTCTTCAATTCTCAGCTTTTGAATCTGCTCAGAGGCAAGAGTCAAAGGCACTCATGAGCTTGGAGTCCTTCTGGAAGAAAGCATCAGGTAGTCATCATTGTAAATAATTAGATAGAAATGGGCAATTGCTATTAAGGCACCTGGCCAATCCCCTAAGGGCCTAATCACCATCCACCCAAGGAGACTAACCATGAGAGATTTTAGCGATTTCCCTCATAGTGAACAGTTTTGCCAAAGGCTCTGAGTAAAAGCACTCTGCCCCTCATTGTAGAGTGATAGTTTTGTGTCTAGTGCCCATCGCTTAACTAAGGGCATGTCCTTTTACTTCTTATCATATTGCTGTTTCACTTTCTATTGTTCTTATCTCATTGCTTTGTTTACTTGTTTATGGTCTGACTCCCTCCCCTAGACTGCAAGCTTATTATCTTTTACAGTGGCTTCTGCATTGTTCATGGGTGTATCTAAATAAAACATGTTGACTAAATCACTCAATACTTTTCATATTCCACTTGCTGGATAAAGAAAATTATCATGTACCTTTCAAGAGCTAATTAGCCATCATTCTATAATATCATTATTTAACTTTGGAATTGAAGTATGTGCCAATTGTTGCAGCTGTATGTGTCTTTAATGGTTGACTATATTTTTGTTCACTGCATTTCTATTTATTTGTTCATTAATATGCTACCTATAGCGAGAAAGTGTCTTCAGTGGATTGTGATAAAGTCAACTGTCAGCAGGCAAAAGATAAGAGCTAAGTAAGAAAGGACCAAAGAGAAATCTTATCAAGAAATCTTGTTAAGGTGTAACATTGTGTAGCAATCTATGCAAGATCTGCCCTGTAAGCTCCTTTTTCTGCCTTTTGCTGGATAAAATTGACTTGGGCATTTAAAACTCATTTGAAAAAATTAATCAGAGTCCTAGAGAAATTTCTGATGAAACTATTTTAAAGTGCTGCAGCCCTTGACTTCCAGGTATTATGCATTTGCAAACTCACAGAGACACACTGACTTCATAGTGGCTGGTTATTTTGGAACAAACCCCATCTTCCCATCTCCTCACCCCCATAATGCATCTGAACTAGAATAGACTTGAGGTTTTCCATAGTCCATAAAATTAATACCTTGTATTTGTTTTCTTATTACCTTTTATAGTAGCTTCTCATGCATTATCCCATGTGAGCATCTCAGTTATCTTATATAGAAGGAAGATAGGCATTATTTTTCCTTTTTTTTTTTTTTTTTTTTTGAGACAGGGTCTCTCTATGCAGTTCACACTGGTCTTGAGCTCACTTTGTAGCTCAGGCTGGTCTTGAACTCGCAAGAATCCTCCTGCCTCAGCATCCCAAGCATTGGGATTATAGACGTGCACCACTATGCCTGGCTATTTTTCCATTTTTAAAGATAAGACTGTTTAAATGATTTGCCAAATATTACAAAAGTAACTGGCAGAGCCTTCATTAACATACTAAATTTTTGTTTCTTTAACTATACCTTTTTTCTGCATTGTTTCACAACTTTTTAAGGACCCCAGGAGAGCTGACATGCTCTACAGAACTACTAAGAAGTTTACATTATGGAAATGTCTCAAGATTTCAGGCCTGGATGCTGGTTCAAGGCACTAATGAGCTCGAGCTAGCAAGATGTCTTAGATGGGCTTAACAAGATTGTCCAGCCCATGATTTGTCACCTTTCTGAGGAAAAATCCCAAGACCCATGGATTCCAGGGAAGACCCATGACCTAGAGCTAGATTTGTACTGCTCCACTTTAAAGAGGGGCTGTCAGTCAGCTAGTATTCTTCCCAAATGCAAGTTCATTGAAATTGTCTCTAAAAGCAGAGAGTTATATTTCATTAGTCCCATATATTTTGAGGACTTGGGCAAAGGCGCAAGAGTTCATGTAGATGACTTCCATCCAAATCAGTAGATTCAGTGCATGTTAAATAATCCACTCACTGATGAGGCCAATTGTGCTTGAATGGGTCCTATCTAGACCATATCGTTTTGAGACACAGTATGCCTCTATGACATTCACCATAAAGAACCAATGTAAAATATAAGCCTATGTCTCTCTTCTCCTGTTTAGACTGGATATTCATCTACCCTGACCTCACAGAAAACTCCTTCCATGTTTAAAAAAGATGTCTTCATTCTAATGATACAGCAGATTCTTTTTGTTCTCTGATATTTATTTTAACAGAAGCAAGGGAAGAAGAACGCTCATTTACTAATCTCCAAATATGCGTCTAGAACTAGGCTCAGCAATTTCAAAAGCGTGATGATTTCTAATTCTCATCACAGTCCTGTGAGGTGGTTATTTCACAGATGAGAGAAGCGAGATCATTCAGACTGGAATTGCTGGTGGGTCTCCAAACCCCAAACCCCTACTTTATGCACAGTAGATCATATGAACCCCAGAATAAACTTGGCCTACTTGAGCTTTTGATCTTGTCTTCTTTGGGAGTAGAGAAGAAATCAACCTAACCATTCTTTCTTTGCCTTAGTGCCTAGGTGGGTGGAAGAAGAGGAAGAGCAGTTACAGGGCAGAGGAGAGGAAAGTTTCCAGAGGGCAGGAAACAGGCCTTGGTAGCTAAGTCCAGTAGAGATGGAGCTGCTGACAGATGCTTTCCTAACACACCGACTGCGGAGTCCTGCTTGGCCCTGCTTCCCAGGGCCAGAACTGCCTTCATTCCTGGCCCCTTGGGCTCTGCACACTCCCGGGGTACTGGAGGCCGGACTGGAAGCTCGGGAGGCCAGCCAGCTACGCGTGGCAGACGGTGGAGTAGGAAAGAGCGACCTGGTGCAAGGCTTGGACTTGGTAACGTAAGGGGGTTGGACTAGTCACGTGACTCCAAGAAGGCGGAGACAGGCGGGCCGGAGGGAGGACTGGCAGGCGCGGGGAGGGGCTGGGGGGTCGATCTGAATAATTGAGGAGCTGTTCAGCAGAAGCGGCTGCCTCCTGCTTTCCCTCGCCGTCACCCCCCAGCCCCCCATCACAGCTAGAGAGACAGCCCTGCTCTGAGAGGGGACGCCAGCCACTAGCACCGGCAACCAGTGCATCTGCTCCAGCGCTCTGGTGAGTGACGGCCCCTTCATCACAGTCTGTTCCCCCTCCGTGACCCCCGCGCCTCAGCTGGATCGCAGAGACTGGGATGAACCCGGGAGCTGGAGCCACCGGGAGAGGGGGGGAGGGAACATGGCGCAGCGGCTGAGGGCGCCCTCCGGGAAGGGGTTCCCTGGAAGAGGGATGGAGCTGGGGTGAGGAGGTTGGCGGTTGGCGGTGAAGCGGGCAGGGTTAGCGCCCGCGGTCCGGGAACGCGGGGCTCAACCCACGGAAGCTGCCCGGAACGGCGGGGGCAAGTGCAGTTGGGACAGCGGGGCAGCCGGAAAAGGGCGAGCTGGGCAGCGTCTGGGCCTCCTGGGTCTTGGCAGAGGCTGGGCCCGTCCTTTCCTCCCTGCCTGGGCGCGCAGCCGGCTCGGCCCGCTCGGTTCCCGGCCCGGACAGAGACTATGGAAAGGAAGAGACGCTTTTCCTGCAGCAGCCCGAGAAGAAGGGGTTGCAACGTCTGCTCCTTTACCTGAGAGCAAACTCTTCACAGGGACTGACTCCTGCTGAGCCCGGCGCCCGGACTAGGCTGGGGAGCCGCGAGGGCATCTGTCCCCGGAGACCCGTGACAAGCCGGGGGCGGCGAGGGGGACGTGACGGGAGAAGTGCCCGGGAAGCTTCCTGCCCAGAGCGGGCAACCTGGGGCGAGGACTTTCTCCCGCAAGGCTTCACCCCTCCAGGTTGTCCTCTCGCCCCTCACCCCAAGGCACATCAGTTGCCCACGAATACGGAAGGCTGGAGTAGCGCAGCCTAGCCCCGAACCTCCTTCTCTTTTCTGACTCACACTCCTCCGTGTGCGTTTTATATTGCGATTGAAGAGTGAAATAGAAGCCGAAACAGCAGGGGTTTTGCCTGGTCTTGGCACTCCTTATCCCCCTACCTGTGCGAAGCTCGGTTCATTGAGTTCTTGAACCAGCTATGGGGAATAACTTCTCTCCAAAGTGGCGAGGGCAGTCTCTGACTGGAGTTGGCCAAGGGCCACTGGATGGCCTGACCCCCTGGGGAGCTGGAGTCCAAGAGAGAACCAGGGAGTCTACGCGGAGCCGAGGTTCTGGTGCTGTCCGTGGTGCTGAAAGTTGTTGGCTAGTTGCTGATACCTCTGCAGAATTGATGGCATAACAACGCCAGCATTTTCTGCAAAGAGAAACTACTACAGTCACGGAAAGATAGGCTAGTGATTAACTATAAAAAGGTCAAAGGTTCTCTGCTTTTCGGTTTTCTGCCTTCCCCTGTACTCTACTTTGGAGGTTCCAGGCCCTTCCGGGTGCAAAAGCAAGGAGGATCTAGCTTGCTAACTTTGGGTGGTGTCTCATTCTTTTTCTTCTGCCTGTGTGTGAGTCTGCCTATCGGTAAAGTGTTGTAAACGCAGTTAAGGATGCTGTTTTGGAAGGTCGTGAGTTCGGTTCCCGGTACCGGAGAAAAACCAAAAAAAAAAAAAAAAAAAAAAAAAAAAAAAAAAAAAAAAAAAAGTGCTTCATTAAGCAGGATTTTCTGTTACAGGTTATGGCTTTTTTCCCTTGCCTCTTCATCCTTCTCTCCTCACCACACGTTGTTCACATCCTCTAGACACAGATTTTTAAGCAGCCATGTGTGTTCGTCTTTTTAACCAGTCTTTAATATGTAAAATGGGAAAGAGTGTAAGCCAATTTGGGCAGACCAGGTTAAGAGCATACTTATGGAACATGTACTCTGTTAGGAATTATTATCTCATTTAAACTTCACAATATCACATATATATGTATCACACATCTAAGGAAATTAGGAATCTTGAATCCAAAGACTGAATTCTAATTCAAGTCTGCTTTCCTCCAAAGTCTAAGCCATTTTCATGCCCTCATTTTGGTATTTATCTTTAAATAGCTTATAGGAGAATATAATAAAAAAATAACAAAGGAAACTCTTTCTTTCTGTCAGAAACTGCTCTCTCTTCCAACCCTTTCCTCTTTAATCTGTTCACCCACCATCATTCACTGCCACCCTCCTAACTATTTTGAGGCATTTTACTTGCAATACCACCATTCCTACAATTGAGCTCTGGGATTACAGAAACAAGTTAGGGGACTAAACCAACATGCTTTCCTGAAAGAACAGAAAGGCTTTAGGTAGTCTGGAAGGCCAGAGTCTACATGTTCTTTCCTATCTAGAATTGTATTATTGAGTTTTCAGCTAGAATAACATTAAAGTTCCACTCAGCTCCATTATGTTACTGAAAGAACTTGGAAACCCAAAAATGATCACTGGCCTCAGTCCCATGAGTGAAAAGGCAGTATCTAAACCCAGCTAACTTAACTCCTAGAGCCAGTGCCCTTACCACTACTCCACTGTGCCTGAAATATTCTTCTGGGTGGCCTTCTGTCATTATCTTTGACAAGAATGTCAGGATCACTGATCTATGTTTGTAATATCTGGCAAACACAAACAGTTCTCTTTGCCAATTTTTCTTCCTTCTCTTGTGTCTCTGATTCCATCATGCTAGTGTTGCCTGACTCAACATACCTGATAGATATGACTGATCTTCCTCAATAAATTTCTCTATGACAGAAATTCACAAATAAGGACAGTATTGTGGCATGTCTCATCTTACCCTATGTTGTCTATTTTTCCTTTTCTATGAGTTATTCCTAAACAATAACTTCCCCAAAATTGATTAAGTAGCTTCCCATACACTCATAGTGACTAAAAATATGTAACGAGAAGTAAAGATCATTCTATGTGCTAATATCTATAAAATGCTTACCAACATTAGGCACTGTACTAAGTCCTCTATTCCTTCAATTCATGGAATCTCCCTGATTCTTTCAAGTTGATAACTTCATTAGAGATGGTTCTAGAGACACAGGTCACTCTAACATACAGCAGAACCTGATGTACTATGCGTTTCTTCTTGTTTTTCTTTCCAGCCCACAGTAAAATTTCATCTTCATTAATTGGATTTATGTTTCCCTAGTAATTGTGTTGGCAAAGATGATATTTTATACTTAATTGATAGTTCTGTACTGCTCCAATATAGAAGCTTTAAAAATCCAAATTGCACTGTCCAGCTCTTTGTCTCAGTATTTACCACAACATATTCTTTGCATTTGTTATCCCTTCTTTAAAAATTCCCATATGCCTTCTTATTGCTAATACCAGAACTCTACTTCAATCCCCCTTTGGAACCAATTAAATTATAACTCATAATTAATTACATAACTTCCATTGTATCCTCACTAGGTGATCTGCAAATATACTACTGCTGGGTGCGCTGGGTCCTATACACCAGAATCTTAAACTTTCTAGAACTACTCTGTCCAGTATGATAACCACTAGTCATATATAGCTATTTAAATTCAAATTAGCTGAAAATTTAAAAATTTACATTAGCTAAGACTTTAAAAATTCATTACCTCAGTCATACTAACTATACTTTAAGTGCTCAATAGCCATATGTAGCTAATAGCTACTTATTGGTTGGTTCAGACATATTTCCATAATCACGGAAAGTTCTGTTTGATGTGCTAAAAATATTCTTACATCAATCAAGAACTAAGTGTTGAGAAGAATTTAAGGACCTGAGACTTTGCTTTGAAGCTTCTTCCAAGAAAGGAGAAAAGGCCACTTGTAACTAGTACTTCTCCAGCAACTAAATATGTCCACACCGATTTAGATAGCAGGAAGAGCACATGTCTTGCTCAATAAGCTGGCAGCCTCTGGGCTCATTCTCTATGGATTCCATCATACCATGCAGTACAATGGTTCCTGAATGGGGTTTGCTAGTTTCCTGAATTCCAACTTGGAAATGATCTGAAAGTTCCTACCCAGAATTCAAGTTCATATATCACACAGTAATGTATGTGTGTGTGCACCAGTGTGTGTGCATCCATATATGTGTGCACCCATGTATTGTATCATGTCTCAGTAAGCACAGTATGATAATATAAAAATAATATGAGAATTGTGGTAAGTAATAAGTATACAGCTTACAACAATGACACTGTAAAGTCCTTAGAGCTCTGTTCCTTCACCTGTAAAATACCGAGGAGAATTACCATACCTATCTTGAAGAGCTATTGTGAGACTCAGAGTTTAGGCACAAAGAAGTACTTTGTAAAAGGCATGATGGAACCTACAATTATTGATCATTTCATATAATCTAAATAAAAATAAGGTAGTTTAAGTCAAATGTCTTTCTGATTGTTTTTAATCTTTGACATGAATGTGTTTTACCTTTATTCTCATTTATTTCACTAAAAAGTGAAACTTGAAGGGGGTGGTACTGGCCATTGAACCAAGAGCCTTTGCACTGAGCTACATCCCTAGCCATTTTTATTTTTAATTTTGAGACAGGCTCTCACTAAGTCCCAAAATTGTCCAGGTTGGGCTTCAACTTGCAGTTCTCCTTTCTTGGTCATGCTAAGTGCTGGAATTATAGGTAAAAACCACTATATCCAGAAGAAAAGTGGAATATTGAATTAAAATTTTTGATTGTTGAGATTTCTAGATAGTTAGGTTTTATTAATTAAAACACTGCATCATCTGTGGTTTCAGTTATTTGACCCTGAACAATTCCTTCTCAAAAAATCACAATGTCTTAATGAGTGGAAGTGGTTCTTACCTTTTAATGAATAGTTTTAATTTTCAATAATTACCCTTTCATGATAGCAGGAATTCAGAAAGAACAAAAAACCTGTTATGGATATTTCTCAGTATGGGTGAACAAAAGGGGCAATTTAAAAGAAAAATTTCTACTGATTACTAATTGAAATGAGCTTCTACCCATCTAATAAATTAATGTAAATAAAACATCTTATTTAAAGTGTTGATTAACCCAAAATAAAAGGAAAATTTATTAACTTAACTGAATTATCAATGCTGCATTAGGAATTATGGCATTAAGTAAACAGTCTTTACGCCATCTGTTTGCTAAGTAAAATCCATTAGAGTTATGAATAATTGCACACCTAGTTAACATTTGTTCCAAAACTTGTGCT